ACTGAAAATTCACAAAAAATCTTTGCTCGGGGAAGTTTTGCTGACCTTTAAAGCCCACAGTCTAGCTTTCGTTCCTGCACTCAGCTGTTTAAAACAAAGGTCAGAGATCAGGATCATCCAACTGGACTGTGTGTATGTTTAGCTTCCAAACTGAAATGAATGCATAAAACTAAATGACTAAACTAAAACTTACCCTCATCTCTCTGCACTTTCTTCTCAGCTCTGGAAAAAAAACAACCTCACCCTCTTGGCCCGGTGTCAGGCTTCAACACCGGGGGCGTCCACGCTACATTTTCATTATTCAAATGGCTCGTGCACTCATTCTTCTGTCACAGCAAAACATCTGCTTTGTAATTGTGGTTGCGTACTTGACAGGCAGCCATTTCTCTCTCTGTAACTCAACTACGGATGACAGAGAGCCGAACTGTATCGTTTTTTTTTTATAGTTGTGTTTGGGATAAATGTATGTTTTAATGACTGCCAACCTCTTGGTTTGTTAAACTTTGGCTGCTGGGTAAGCGTAGCTTTAAATAGCAGGGTAAATCCTTCATAACCGGGTTCAATAAATAGACAGCTATGGCATACAGAAAACTGCAGGATAAATATGTACCACACGGTGTATTTTCTTTTATTCTTTGCAAAAGTAGGCAAAGCAAAATATAGAAAGCTAAAGGATTGTGGCACCTCCTCACAAATCTCATTTTAAAAGATACATACTGATTCAAACTGTTTTCTACTGTAAGGGAACAGGTGAGGTAACCTCACACCTGGAGCTGATCTCCACATCAGGTGAAAATAAAGGACAATCAGAGAAGATGACCTGGTGGCACATGCTGAGAGAGGAGCCGTCAGTCTCTTACCCCAAAGAGCTCCAGGGTGAACTCTGGTTATATTTTAAACCGGTTAGTTGGGCAGCAGCCCGGCTGAGGTAGTTTTGTTTTTCTAGTTTTGCAAGAGGGCTCCTGAAGGAGCTAGATTTTCTCTTTTCTTTGACTTTGAGTTAGAATAAATAAAAACCTAGCTAACCTGACTCTGTTTGATTGCTGTGCTGCCACTATTTTCCTTGTCCTCCACAATATATAATGGGGCCTTGAACAAAAACAAACTGCCTTGAGCCTCAAACATGAGCTATTATAGGTGCAGCCCATAAAATTGTAGTTTACAGTCTGGTGAGGCTCAGTGGAAACAAGTGATTTCAGGAGAGGAAAGGCCATTGCTCTCATTGAAAATTCATTGAGCTGATTTATGTGTGTCTAAGTGTGCATGTCTGAGCGGGTGGTTTAGGACTCTGTGTCTTATTCGTGGCTGTCAGCGTGATGCACAGCTCTAATATAGTGCTTGATCATGCAGAGCGCTCTCCAAGGGAGCCCTTTGCATGCGTTTCAGCGCCATGGAAAAGACCGAACCAGCAGATGGTGCTCTTGTTTTATCCTTGAAGATCTCTCTCTCTCTTTCTTGCATGCACATGTCTTATGGTAACTTGGGTCCAGACAGTGTGAGAGAAAAACAACTCATCCTGGTCAGATATTTGAGACCGTTGTGTCACTATCTGCTCGGTGGGCTCCAGTCACCAGGCCTGCTCCGGGGCGCCGACTGCTTGCTCAGATTATGTGAATTTGGCAGACTGCAGCAAAATACAATACTAGTGGAGCATAAAGCATTCAGGCTCTCTGGTTATCAGTTTCAGTACTCTGCTGGTCACTTTAGTGATGCAGGGAATTCACAACTTTCAATATCGTCATAAGTTGTGCATCCAGACGGTTCCATAATTATTCACGGATAAAATACGGTGTTTACACTGAACAATTAGCTTCCTGGGATTTAAGTAGGTCACTTCTTGAGGATGTGTGGCATGAATGCAAATGCATCCAATTCTACCTTCCAAAAAGCCTTGGCCTCCCCCTCATGTGACTTGCTTCTTTGCCAAGGTAATCCAGGAGTATGGATCTGCATGGAGAGGCTTTACATGCAAATGGATGGGGAGCAGACAGAGAAGCTGCTGGGCTGAATATGGTTAGTGTACTGGAGATGGATGGGAAATGCATACTTCTCCCATAGTGAGAGCTAAATCGTCACGAGGCTGGTGCTGACACATTTCTAAATGAATGTGTTTAGAGCTAAAAAGAGGGTAGATTACTCCAAAGTGGGAGTAGGCAGCGAGGACCTGCTGGAGAGAGTTAAGAGACAGAGTAAAGGCCCGCTGGGCATCCAGGCAGGGATCCATCCATCCATCCCTTTGCCTCTCAGAGTTGACTCATGCTGCCTACGTGGGCAATGTTTCCATGTAAACACACACAGTCAATTCAATAGTGATGTGACAGAGACAGATTGTTCCAGTCATCATGTAAACCTGCCAAGAAGTAACACAAACCTTTTTGATTCATGAAAAGGAAATCTCACTAAAAACTGTTTTAAAACATTAGATGATTAATATTTTGTCCATTCAGCTTTTGCACCAACAAGCTGGTAACATTGTACTGCTCCCTCTCTCAGGTCTCTCACATTCGCACACTTTCTCTCTGCACACAAATGTGTTTTTTACTAATGTTTGCACAAAACGTGCATGTGCAATGTAGTTATTCTGCATCCAATCCACTTCTCCTCTGACTTCCTTCTCTGTTTTGGCTTTATTATGGCCATAACAAACAGGGAGACACACGAACCTTTAGCAAAAAAAGCTTGAAGGGAATTTAATATTGACAGTGTGGGAATCAGTGGTGTCAGTAGTGTGTGTGTGTGTGTGTGTGTGTGTGGTGCATAAATTTAAGACGTGTGTACAGGTGTTATAAAGGTGCGAGGCAAAACATAAAGTTAGACTAAGGCAATATAACAAAACTAAAAAGCAGGTACCTGAAAGAAGTGGAGACCTGCAGCAGCACAGCAGAGAAGAGAGAGACTAGCAGCACCAGGTGTTCCTCGTTGGCCCTAACGACCCCCTACCACCAGGTATCTGGAAAACACGGCAGAAGACAGATTGGCAGCGAAGGGCAGAGCTCGTCACACCTTAAAACTTATGCCACAGAAATGTGTACATTTGTAGGAATAACACAAAGTAAGGTAAAAGCACAGTGATATGCTTTAGCTAGAAGACTAGTTGGACTACAGTCACAGCTATCCTTAGCTAAAGCTATTTTACAGATGTATGCTGACCTATTTCCTGGAACTGAAAAATCAATCTTAATGTTCCATCATCTTAGTAATTGAGTTTGTTACATCACATTCATAAGACAGTATCTAAATCTAATCTTAAAATAAAAAGATGGGGAATAATCATCCTAAAAAGTGATAACCTGTTTTACAACTTGCATAGCTCGCATACAGTTTGGCTTCAAACGTCAAACCCTTATCTCTCATCTTCACTGAAAGGTTTTGAGGGGTGGCACTGGATCTCCTATGCAAGTTGCATCAAGCATTCCGCGCTGAAAGGCCCAATCTGTGATTCAAACTTAAACATGAGGGCCATCCCAGCAAGAAAATTCAAAACACAGGAACCTGCTGTCACTCCCAGAATGATTGGCAGGTCTTTTATTACATGGATTAATGCGAGGCCTCAACTAAATCCAAGATGTCAATGCGTCAGAAGCTGCTGAAAGCTGCAAACACCAAAGTAGCATCCGCATTGACGAGGAACATGTTTCTTTTCCTCATCAAGACACATTTTCAGTTATGACTGTGAATTTGGCTCCGATTATTTCAAGGAGTTGGACCTTAAATGACACTCGCAGTCAAGAAAATGTCGTACCCAAATGAGGACTCTCACACTTTGGGCTCTTTCACTCACTCGCACACACACACACACACACACACACACACAAAGCAAGGAGGTGTGGGCTCTTTATTGGTACTTACGTCAGTGTGAAAAGAACAATTTCTTGCCTATATTCCTGTCTGAGGTTAACGGGCAACATCAGTCTCTTCCTCGCTCTCTCCCTCCCACAATCTCTCTTTCCCAACTCCTTCATCTTACTTTCTCGCTCTTACCTCGCCCACCTCACTCTCACTCTCCCCCGCTCTCTAGCTTTCTGTCTGCTTCCAACATACATTTATTTATCAGTGTGGGGAGCCTTGCTGCGAGCACTGGCCCACAGGGACCCTTTCACTTTGCTGATGTGCACAGCGGCTGCTGATTGTAACCTTATGTGCCCCTGCTTGTGAGTCATGTGAGGTAAAATGAGTTTGTGTGTATGCGTGTGTGTTAGAGAGAGACAGTTGGGAAAAAGCCAGACTACTGACTACTTTCATCATGTGGCAATCAACTTGCCACTGACACTCAGTCAAAGCATTATAGCATCAAGTCCCACAGGGTGCGCATTAGGCCAATCCTAAGGGCAGATATCGATTCAGCACGGTTGGGATTCAGATACTGCACACACATCATGCAGTCATTTGTGAAGAACAGTTGCTCGGTAATCACAAGTATTATCACTCAGTTGGTAATCGGAAGGACAAATGTGCAGTGTCCTTATCTATAATGGATTATTAGTTATTTATTGCACTAGAACGAGTTTTGCTCTCCATGTTTGATGGAATGGTAACTAGATACCAAACTCATTGAGGAAGCTGTTTTATAGTTCATGGTTATATCTTTTCGTTGATTTCCCTGCACATACACTCCAATAAAAGGGGCATAAAACAATAAATTGCAACTAAAAATAACCAACACAATTTCTGTGCTACATGTTTTGCTGTGTTTGACTATTTTAACCTGCAATAACTGATGTTTTGGCCGTTTGGAGACAGCGTAAAGGAAACAGTGACATATTGAAAAGCTCATATGGAAAATATGTTTGCAAATTTTCTCCTCTTTATACAACCAACAGATACAGAGCAACATTGTTATTCATTCGAAGACGTGGTTGAAAAAAATATTCCCTCCCTTTTAGCTCAGTTTTGGTCTCCATCAACTCGAGAGGGAAATATGAAGCAAGATGCTAAATGCTCCACTATGTTCACCGGGTATTCACTAACTTTATCTGTATGCCATGTGGTGCTAGGCAGGTAGTGTATAATTAATCTGCGCTTTTTCAATGGAGCGGCCAGAAACTGTGCTGATGAAAGCTGTGAGAGTGAACCCAACCAGTACATTTGTAGGACAGAAAAACAAAACAATGAATAGAAATGTCTGTAAAGCTAAAGAGACCTGCATATTCTGGGGGTAATTCTTGGAGTTCTTCCCTATACGGCCCCTTTTACATTACAATTAGTAATTTGATCTATTGTTAATATAAAAAAAATTGCTTAGTGCAGCTTTAATTGGTTTTATTTCAGAATTATTGTAGTTTGAAGTGAGACTATGTCATTTCTGCTGGACAGCAAACATAAGTGACAACTGCGGGATAATGTTAAATATTAAAACATAGTAGAAAAGTCACATGAAATCATTAAAAATACACATCAAGTCATCAAACTGAATCAGCAATGTCTGTTACACAGTAACACTTATCTAACGTTGCTAACATCAGCTAAAAATGAGCCACCTTTAACTACTGGTCATACCAGACCAAGTAAAGGATGCTGCAGCAAAACCCCTGGTTGTATCGATCTGTGCAAGGGTGTGTTTTAGTCCTCAATTGAACTTCTTGTCGAACAATATAACATAGATGATGTTCTTATACGTATTTTATGCAAAACTCTTTGGATTGCAGTGTTTGAAAGATGTTAAACTGGCTTCGCCTCGACAGCTATCAGGCCGAGTTTGAATTAGTTCGAGTCATGTCATCTGGATGGTCATTTATCTCCCAGATATTGTTTGATCAAATTTATAAAAAATGATGAATAATGAAATAGGCTTGAAGTCGTTTACTCTCATCCTGAACTGAATCTATCATAACCGTGGTTATTTTGTTAGAGATGTTTGATGGATTAGTTCATTTTTTTATTGGTGAATCATTTTGCGTTTCTAAATTGAACCCGGGAAGTAAAATCTAATAAATACTAAAATGCCCCTGGCACACACACAATGTTAAAATGTGTATTTAATCTTCGGTGAAATGCAACTTTGTTTTCAAGAACATATTACCGACCAGACTGCAGTACTGATATTGTGCCAGCAGGCGGCATTACGCAGTCTTGGTGCTGTGAGTGAATCTGCTCTGACTGCATGGCTTCAGGCAGCATGACCACAGGAAAATAGACTTCACACCCCTCAGTACACTGCCAGCATGACGACTCAGCTTTCTAGTGACACACGAGTACAAACGCAATGCACACACTAAGATGCCACACAAAATAAGAGCTTCTTCGTATTTTTATTTTTAATAGAAAAGAAAGTATTCAAAATAATACAACAGGAAGTATCCGGTAAAGATGACTGAAAAAATGTGATCTGTGTCTAAAGGGCAACGACGCATCCTCCCCTTGAGCTCAGCCCCGTTTTCTGCTTCAGTGTGTGTGTGTGTGTGTGTGTGTGTGTGTGTGAACACTGAATCAAATTAGAAATAGAGCTTTATGATGCGCATGACAGTCTGCTGGTGAAATGAAAAGGGATAAAGTGTGTGTTTGTCTGGTTTATATGTACATGTGAGGTGTGTTGGAATGACAGTGTGCTACGATATGTACAATAAAAGACTCCGTGTGTGTGTGTGTGTGTGTGTCGGCTTGGATCTGCAGTTCTGTGGTATATGAAGAAGGATAGATTGGGTTGAGACACAGATGATCTGAATTAACACAGCTTCAGTCTGCCTGCTGTGGTGAGGATGATGATAATGGGATTGGTGATGATGATCATGATGCACTACAAAGGAAGCCAAGAGTAAAACAAACTGAAGAAAAGGACATCAGAAAAGGGGACCAAAAAAAAAAAAAAGAAAGAACTGAACTTGTAGCTGCGAAACACAATTAAAAAAAAAAAAATAAGGTCCTTGACTTCAGAAGGCAGGAGGAGTTTAGAGTTTCTAAATCACCGGCTCGCTCCCTACTCTCTCTTATTAAAATATCACAAATTTTTCACTCTCTTTCCTCACCCGCCCTCACCCATTCTCTCAGTCCCTCATGGGCCAGGTGGCCTGGCTGAAGGTAGGCAGGCCAAAGAGTTCAGTGTGGATCCTGATGGTGTTACGCAACCCCTCTGCCTTCAGCACCTGTTATTCCCAGGGCCTCCTCTCTTCTTTACTTATGTGTCTCAGTCCCCCACACACCCACCAAGGACATTTGTCCGTACTGGGAGCTCCATATTTGGGAGTTCCTCTGTCCAACTGCATGGGTTCAATATTCAGGATCGAACCACGGAGGTACAGCCGGATGGATACGGAGGGAGAGATGGAGGGATGAGGAGCTGATGCTTGATGAAATTACTCAGTTTGAGCCGACCGCTTCCTTCTCGTCACGTCCTCCACCATCTCTCCCTCCTTTCATCTGTCTGTCCCTTCATCGCGCCGCCACCTCCATCTGTCCGCTCAGGGGCCTGAAGGGGTGAGGAGGGCTGTAGTCTCTGAAGAAAGTGCTCTTCATCCCATTTTCTCTCTCTCTCTCTCTCTCTCTCTCTCACATGTATCCCCCACGCTTTCACTTTCGATTAAAATACTATCTTTGCCATACGTTCAAAAACACACACATGTTCATACCAACACATACAGTGTCCCGTCACATCAACGCCCCATCGGTAAAACATTGATTCAACTCTCTCTCAGGCATACATAAGCACACACGTCCGCATTCACACACACACACACACACACACACACAGTGAGGCTCTGTGAGGGTGAATCTCGGGGGCCTCTGTGCTATGTCCCATCTTCCTCCTCCTCCTCCTCTGAACAGTAGTCTTGTCCCTGCAAAGAAAGAGAGATAAGAAAGAAGATGAGACGTGCATGATTTCCTACTCTAATTTGCTCTGGTTATGTATACTCAGTAATAACCTACTTCAAATGACTCCCTCTGAACTGTCTGCATGCAGCAATCCCAGACACACTTTTTTTACTCCACTCACACAAACCCTCATCAAATTTCTGGTACTGGCGTAGAAAATGCTGGATGAGGAGGTTAAGTGCTGACAGGTGGGCAGTTATGCTGCTTTGTTTCTTCCATCACGATGAAGCGCTAACTCAACTCCCTTGCTTTCCTCTATAGAGCCGGCCTGACAGCTCGTCTAACTGCGCTCGCTGTCTCGATTTAAATAAGGCTTTAAAATACAGGCAGCCTCAGTACCTGAAAAATCAGTAGCGGAGAGAAACCAAGTGCATTTAAAAACAGTACGGTGCCTAAGTTGTACTTTGAGGCATTTAACAGCTGTATTTCCATTTCATGCTACGTCATACATTTAATTCACTACATCCCAAATGGCAACATTTTTACACAAATTTAGTTTTCAATTTCAATGCTCCAATACATTTATCTGACAGCTATAGTTACTTTGCAAGGGATTAGTCAATTAATCAGTCAGTCAGTCAGTTTGGATGAGTGATTATATGTTCTTAAAGCAAAATGCCAAACAACTGCAACTCAATTGCAAGGATTTGATGCTTTCCATTGTCTTATGTGATAGTTAATTGAATATGTCTTCTTGTTGGCCAAAATTATCTATTTTGAAGACGCCATCTTGGGCTTTAGGATGTTGCATTTGCGACACTAGTTTTTCACTATTGTGATATTCGCAGATTAATGGATGACTGAAAGAAACCGCTAGTAGCAGCGCACACCAAGCGAAGTGTAACATTAGCATTTTGAGTGTTTCTGGCCAATGTTTACAGAAGTCCAATATTCCTTTTTGTTCTGTTTTTGGTCTCCTCCAACTCTTGAGAAATAAATGCTCCACAATGTGGAGCAGCTAGTCGCTAACTTTGACCGTCTGCTGTTTGATGCCGATAGTGTATTGTTGGTTAATTGCAGCTTTTCGCTGAAGTGGCCAGAAACTACTCTTATGAGAGCAGAGAAAATATTCGGGCCAGAAAACCAAAACAATTAGCTGAAAGATTCTAAAACGCTTGTCGCGCAATAATTCTTGGCGGGTTCCTAAATATGGGAAACCTACTTCACATTATCATTTAATCCACAGTTAAAACAAAAATATTGAATAGAGCGGCTTTAAGTTTATATTCCTGATAATGACGAGATACGCAACATTTTAAATGCAGTACTTTTACCTGTAATTCTAAAGTATTTCTACACTGTGATACAGCTACATACGGTTAAAAACAGGCAGGCGATAAATGAAGTGCATAACACCAAAGCTGAATCCAGCAATTACTCACTATCGCTTCACTGCAACCTCATTTTCAGTCAGAAACAACCGGTGAGATGAAGTGTCAGACTAAGAGTAGTAAGTGCTCATCACTGCAGCCATCCTCCCCCTCACACACACACGTGGGGGGCGGAGTGTGGAGCTCGTAAGCAGAGTGACAATGTGGACTAATGGATGTTGTTGTAGTACAGCCTGTCTCTTTAAATGCTAAGACCCAGCTGTTTCTTTAAACGCTCAGAGGTCCAGTCCAGTCCAGTCCACCCAGTCCCCTCCACACCCACACACCCCCTCACCTTCTCAATCTTCTCATCCAGCATCCTGAAAAATTCCTGCTGGCTCTCTGACGTGTGAATGCTGAGAGAGAGAGAAGAAAAATGGAAAAGCGAAAAGGAGGGGGGAGAGGAAGTTGGAGACGAGGAGGAGAAGGGAGGCAACAAATACATCATGAGAATTTTCCATTACACCCCCCACACAGCACAAACACACACACACACACGCATAAACACACGTGCACACAATCCTCCCTGCAGTGCGAGAAAGGCTGTGGAGGAATTTAAATCATTATTTTATAAAGTATTAACCCAGTCTCTCGTCCAAAGGCAGAATACTGTGCAGCCACCAACAACCAATATGTTTACATATACAAACGTACACAGTCTGAGGTTGTCCGAGAGCGTTATAAAAACCAGACACAGTATATCACTTACTTCACACATCGGTATATCAACATACTGATTCTAAGTTGTATCTTAATGGACGCTGGACATAATGGTTTACTACAGGGTCAGTTCAGCCAAATTACAACACACTACGATGACAACAAATGGATCAGCTTTCCTTGGAACTTCTAAACTCCCCATGAGAGCTGTTCACAGTGAGCTGGCAAAACAATCTCATCACAACGTCCATTAGTACTGTAGCTGCTCTAGTGCTTCCCATTATATTGCATGATCTTCCTCGGCAGATGAAGTGCGACATTGTTGTTAATGTGTTAAATGTCAGTACTAAATAAAGGAATCGGTATGGCTACCGCTAGAGGTAAAAGAGAAAATACGAGCTTGTTTTATTATTTGGGTGAACTGACCCTTTATACATGTTGGTTGTCAAGAGCCTTTTTTAATACATAGATCGTCTATTTTTTTAACAATATCCACCAGACTTGTATTTCAGCATATACAGACTGCTATTGGCCACTTACTTAGACTTGATGTTTGCTGAAGAGACCTCTTTCTGCTGTTTGCCCCTGTACTGCACATTACTCTTCTCCTGAAAGGCAAACACACACACACACCCCATTAGTTTTCATTATCAGCTGATAAAACAGGCAAAAAACAAACAGTTCATATCAGCAAACAGCCACCCCACTGAAAGCATGCGTCACCTCAGACCTGCATTATTAAATCATGTCCTCACCCAGCTGGCAGCCATCAGGCACCGATACAAATGTATGTAGGTTGTAATAAGACCGATGAAGGTTGCTCACCTCACATGAGTTCCCCTCCATGTCTTTGTGGACGGTTTCCTGCTACAGTGATCAACCAAACACACTGTGACCTGCACCTTGTGGTACAAAACAAACACTGGTCTAACCACATGTGGTCGTACTGGAGGTTACCTGGCTAGGTTTCAACTTTCAGAGGTTAAGAGGTGCTTCTCCTTGTGGTTGCAGCCTGTGACGGTGATAAGGACGGTTTCTGAGCTGCAGTTATATAAATTAGTGACAGTGCTTCTGTTGTTTTAATCCGAATTTATACACTGAACAGAAATATCAACACTTTGGGTTTTGCTTCCCATTTCGTACGAGTTGATCAAAGACTTTTTCTACGCTTATTTCTGCACAAATTTGTTTGCCAAGTGAATCCATCCACCTGACAGTGTGGCATATAAAGATGCTAATTAAACAGCATGATAATTACACAGGCGTGTCTTGGGCTGGTCACAAAAAAAAAAAAAAAAAAATGCCACTCTGAAATTTTCAGTTTTATCTTGAATTGTATTTTGTTACGATTCCACGAAGGACTAGGGCTACAGAAATACATATTTTTGGCCACACATAAGCAGAAGTATCAGTCAGTATCTGGCATGACCATCGTCTGCTTCATGCAGTGCGGCACATCTCTTTTGCATAGAGTTGACCAGGTTGGTAATTGAGGCTTTCAATGTTGCTGAATATTAACAAGGAACGCCGTCGTGTATGTTGCATCCCAAACATGCTCACTGGGTGAATATGCAGGCCATGCAAGAACCTGGATGTTTTCATCGTCCAGAAATAGTGTGCATATCCTTGCAACATGGGGTGGTGCATTATCATGCTGCAACATGAGGTGAATGCTGCGGATTAGTGGCACTGAACCGAGGGCCTCAGGATCTCGTCACAGTATTTCTGTGCTTCAAACTAAATGCACATCTGTTCACAGTCAGTACCAAAACCCTACCGCCACCATGGAGCACACAACGTGGGCATTAGTAAACCTCCCTCCAAACACAAAGCCATACACGCCGTCTGCCTGGTCCAGTGAAAGCCGGGGATTCATACGGGACGAGAAGACTTCTCCAGACGAAGCTGAGCAGTTGCCCATTCAGGTCGGTTACGACAACGAACGGCAGTCAGGTCAGATCAGCTTCAGTTCACAGTTTGTGCAGAAATTCCTCGGTGGTGCGAACGCTCAGCTGTCCCGGTGGCTGGCCTCAGACCGTCTTGCAGGTGAAGAAGCCGGATGTGGAGGTCCTCGGCTGACGTGGTTTCACATGGCCTGCGGTTGTTAGGCCAAATTCTCGGAAACGACATTGGAGACGGCTTCTGGTCGGGAAATGAACATTCAATTCACGGGCAACAGCTGTGGCCTTTTTGTTGTGACTAGCCCAAGGCACACCTGTGTAATTATCATGCTTTCTAATCAGCATCTTGATAAGTCACACCTGTCAGGTAAAGTGTTCACCAACATGGATTTAACAAATTTGTGCAAGAAACTTGAGAGAAATAAGCATTTTGTGTGCAGAGATCTTTTATTTCAACTCGTGAAAAATGGGAGCAAAAAGAAAAGTGTTGCGTTTATATTTTTGTTCAGTGTATAAATCCTGATTAAAATACAGAAGCAGTGTCACTCTGTCACTAATTTATATAACTGCAGCCCATTTGTTGTATCAAAAAAGATTCCAAAAAGGATAAAGACGTGAGGTGACGTTCTCATTATCTCCGGTGTGTTTTCCTTATGTCTCCTAATACAACAAACAACACAGCTCGACTTACTCCATTGTAAAGGAAGCACATTTTATGAACTGCATGAATTGTTTTAAATGGCTAGTTTACTTGTTTCAAACTGGGAGGTATGGTATGTTGTTTAGTGGGAGACCCAAACCACATTTTCACACAGCCAGGTAACCTACAGTAATGACAAGTGGTAGAAAACACATACTTTCCAACCACATGTTGTGGCTTTACTGGAGGTTACCTGGCTGTGTGAAAATGTGGTTTGGGTCTCCAAACACACACACACACACACACATACACACACACACACACACACACACACACACACCGAGTGTGTGGGGAACTCATGTGAGTCGACCAACATTCATCCGAGTTGAATCTTTTCTTTTTTTAAAGATAAAACTTCAAATTTTAGAGAGACCTTTTTTGTGACCAGCTCGAGACCCACCTGTGTATTAATGATGCTGTTTAATCAGCACCTTCATCTCTCACACCTGTCAGGTGCACGGAGTCTCTTGGCATTGTCTTGAGAAAAAAGCCGCTTTGGGAGCAAAGTGTCTTTGTTTTTTGTTTTTTAAATCACTGTAGTTGCGTTGCTTCTTGTTTCACCAGGATGCCAGTCAGACTGACCTGATTTACTGAAGGATGCAAACAGGATCTCACTTCCCACTTCTACACGTTTCAATCATTTAGTGCAGGGGTCTTCAACGTTTTTCAGGCCAAGGACCCCCAAACTGAGATGGAGCAGGGACCCCTGACTATATATATTGTACAAAATTGTGTTTTATATTAAACTGGGCCTAGTGCCATGTATAAACATATGTCTTAATTGTGCATTCAATACTAAGCTATTCAAATAATACACAGGTTCATATATTCATGTTTTTATTTTAAACATGTGCAAGGTACGGTGAGCAGGGGGGCCGTGCCACTGCCATTTATAAACACACCTTGTCAGCTGATACCAATGCCAACATCAACATCGTCTGTCAATTGCATGATAATCATACAAGCTATTCAAATTGCCGTTTTTATTAAACATAAATGAGGAAACCAAAATGAGTGATGGCCTATTAGTGCCACTGCCATGCATAAACATACCTGTTATCTTTCATACAATACTGAACTATTAAAATAATGGACAGATTTTAAAAAAAAAATTGTGAATGAGTGAAAAAAAAAAAAGGGAAAAAATGGAGGAAAAAATATATATATTTTTTTAAATTGTCTAATCAACCAAAATTTTCGCGGGCCCCCTGCAGTACCTCCGCGGACCCCCTGTTGAAGACCTCTGATTTAGTGTGTTGATGAGGGTGTAAACATGTACAAGCTTTACAATTTGGAGGTTGAGTGTGCATTTGGGATCGGATAGTCGGATTTAGCAAGTTATTACTACAAAAGAGCCCGACCAACATTTCTTTCCACTGTTTAAGACGGCAGGTTCTGCAGGAAGAGTCAAACCAACCAAGCGATCAGCCCCTGCATTCCACACACGCCAGCATGTTGTCTCTACCTGCGTGTGAGGCACCTCTTTGTGTGTGTGTGTGCCGGGAGCTGCCTTCGGACACAAACACGAGCCTGTTCGCCCGGGTTGATAAACTGTCAGGTAAAGGTCTGAGTCTGTGTGCGGATGACAGGCTGTCGGTGGATGGGCTGGGGTGTGTGTGTGTGTGTGTGTGTGTGTGTGTGTGTGTGTGTGTGTGTGTATGTATGTATGTATGTATATCTGCTTTTGTGTGCGTCTCTCACCAGGTTCTCCTGGTTGCGTGCATTCACCCGGTTTTCCTCCCCTCTCATGTACTTCACCTCCTCCACTCCCTTCATCTTGTATTCATCTAAGGAGAGGGGGGTAGAGAGAGAGAGAGAGAGGCATGATTAAAGGAGGGAGAGAGAGGCAGGAGGGAAACAAACATGTATTTATCGGACATCCTCCAGAGAAGAAACACTGACCAGATTTCTCTCATTCATCCCGGTGAATATGATCGGAACGGCTAAAATGATTGAACCATGTCACATCGGCTTCACCGCATTATTTCAACATCACCAACGACTACACCATTGATTTTAGTTCTAATTTGTTCAAGGTAATCTGATAACTGCAACCGGACACAGTGTTTTAGAAAGTGGACATGACAGCTGAGGTTCAAGTAGGAGGAAACTAGTCATCTCCTTTCTATTTAAGCTGCAGCATCTCCTCTGAGGAAAGCGGGAATACACGTCCATGTGAAGTAAGAGAGGGGACAGAGGAGACAAAAAAAAAACAGGGAACAGATAAGAGGGAGTGAGCTGGAGGGGATTAAAGATCAGTCGAACAGCTTCTAGGCTACATGGACAGCTTAGACAGTTAAGACAAGCTCACGTTAACACTTCCTCAAAACTGCACGGCATCGCCACCGCGCCCCGCAATATGCAGCCCAAATCCCCGCCAGAGGTAAAATCAGGGCAATGCCCCTGAATGTACAGAACTTCCTCACTGAGGTTTCAACACTCTGTTTGAATCCCAGAGAATCAAAAATAGATGTACAACAACCACAAGTTCATCACATCAATCTGCCCAGATGTTATAATCAACATTCCCCTGTTCCCGCTCTTCAGTTGGGAGAATTTGCTGCTCCCCTCTGACTTATGCGATTGTAAACGGAATATCTTTCAGACTGTTGTTCATAGAAGTCGAGCAAACTGTAAGATGTCATCTTGAGCTTCAGGAACATGTGATTTACTATCAATAGACTAAATAAATAATGAGAACATGATTTATCAATATTACCAGTCTCAATATCACAGCCTCATTCACTCATTCACTATTGTCTAGTACATACTGTAATTTATACTTTTTAGTTTACTCGATAATCAGCATTAATAATTGTATGAATATCCTCATCAGTTTATATAATGCATTCTATAGTAAATAGGGACTGCAGTCTTTTTGTTTGAGCACTAACTGCATTAAGGCACAAAAAATGAGATGAAAGACACAAAACGAACCTTTTACCAGACAATAAACAATAATATCACGTTAAATTAGGGCAAAACATCCAAATATGTTTGAACAAACACATCGATATCAACATTTTGACGATATCGAGAGAGAGAGACGATGAGATTTTGTGTAAATAATCATCAGTAATGTGGATTTAAAAAGGCAAACACAGTCTCGTATGTTCAGAAACACTTCACTGTAATGTGGCTTTTATAACCAGGAGAAGACCACACTTATGCCATATACTGTTATCCCAAATCTAAGATGATATCTAGCCTCATATCACGATATATCGATATAATATGGATATTTTGCCCGGCCCTACGATGGATCTGACAGTGATGTAACATGATATGCCATTTGAAACTCGACATACAACACCTTTACTGAAGACCAAAGCCCACCTAACCTTGAGCGGAGCTATTCAAGCACACTGGCATTTCTGCTGACTACCTGGTTGTTGGACATTTTACTGATAAAGCAGCCGAGACTCTGTTACACACACACACACACACACACACACACACACCTCGGCCTTATCTGTTGCACACTTTGTATTTTGCCCTCCCTCTATCAGCTGTATGTCTGTTTATCCGTGTGTCTGTCTGTGCCACTTTGAACCCAGCTGACAGGTTCAACCCTGCTTCTGCTCCGTTTCTCACAATCCACCCACGGCACCTGGATCACCTGTGTGCACAATCGCCTGCGTTTCTACATCCAACATGTGCGTCACTGTGGAGCAAAAACACGGCCTGCGTTTGTCAGATAAAACGCTGCCGACGAGAAATCATTTCAAAAAGGGAGAGAAAGAGAAAGAGAAAGAGAAAGAAGGGGGGAAAAGCTGTGCAGATTTGAGAGAAGGAGAAGGAGAGATGAGCGGGGGGGAGGAACAAACGGTGACTACTTTTCTTCTGTTCTGTTTGTAACAGGAATGTAAACGAGTCGGCTCCTGTCTGAACATGCTGACACACACGCACGCACACAAACGGTTTTATAACACCACACAGGATCACCGAGCTAAGATCTGCTCTGTAAACATGCAGCGCGTACGGCAGCTGCAGAATTAAGGGCCATTTCCTCTGCTCTCGTGCACATCACAGGAGCAAGCCACACAGATTTCAAGCCACATAATCCGCACCTTTAAGGTGGATACAGATGAACGGGGAAGGGGTAAAATCAACTATGTAAATAAATCTAAATGGACGTTTTCAAGCAAGCGAATTGAGGAAAAAATGTCATTTTGTAATTTGGGTGAGCTGCAGCCCGACGGGTGAAATGTTACTGGATAGTCACTGAGCTTAATGTGACGGGTATACGTAGATCAAAGTGACCCAGCTTACGCCAATCAAGACTCATCACATCACAGACTTTGCTTCAGTTCAGATTGGAGCAAAAACTGGTCATGCTGTGTGAGTGTAGAGTGTGTCTGTGTGTGTGTGCGGCAGTCATCGTCACAAGAAACGACAAGGGTGTTTCGTCACGCCGATGCCGGGCCGGGCTCGCTTGGGGATGGAAGGGGGAGGGGAACCGTCAGAGAGGGGAAGATGAAAGGCGAGGACTATTTTTGAGAGGCGGTGATTTTGTGATGTGGCCATCTTTCTCATCTCTGATTAGAAACCGCGCGCTCTGCGCTGACCTTAAGGTACAAACACTTGCGTGTGCACGAGGGCGTGCGTGCGCGCGCACACACACGTTTGTCCTTTTCGTGCAAGTGTTACGTTTTGTATGGGTGTGACTCATTTAAATAGCTGCGTTGGGAGCGCGTGTGCGTATTTCTGTGCGTGTCTTTGTGTCTGCTCTAACAGCTCTAGTGGCGATGTCACTCTGTCCTTCCCGCTGTGTGTCCTCCCTCTTAGCCACTCTGGCCATGACATTTACACCTGAACATAAAGTCTTGTCTCTAACACACACACACACACACACACACACACACACACGCACACACACACGCACACACACACACACACACACATCAAACAAGGAGGAATCAATTTAGAAAGAGATATAAAAAATACAGGGCATAATATTCTCCAGAGAAATGAATGCCACAGCTTTTACTGGCAGGAATAAAAAGAGAAGCACAAACAGAATATTTGCAAAAGTCTGTTCTGATTTGTAAGCAAATAGGAAAACACTCAAATTAAATAATCAGATTATATGAGAATCTGACTTCTGGTTCCATCTGTCACAACATTTACACATCTTTCACCAGCAGATTCCTTTTTCTAGCCATAATGTAAAAAAAAGTATACATCGTGTTTCCTGTATGAACACACTTCATGCAGCACTACTTCCTCATTACTAACGCAGCTGAACTCAGTGAATTGCTGTATTTTGTATGATTTAGTAGACTACTTTTAGATGGATTGGTTTCCTGATACATCAGGCGGATATAGTGTCACATGATGATGCTCTAAAATGCTGAAAGCAATTTGAGAGAACCGAAAATAATTGCCATGTCTGGAATCAGTCAAATCTAATCCCAGAAGAAAGACTGGATTGTGCAAACATTTGCTGGAAATTAAAATGTCTTAAAAATAGACTGAGACCTATCATCCTGCAGAGATTTTGATTGCGTTTGTAAACCTCAACGAGACGCAGACCTATCAGGTGTTCCGGGAACACTAATCACAAATTAAACAAATACACTGAAAAGGGAGTTTCACCTGATAATGTGAACAATTCCTGTAAGGCAGAAGTAGATCTACTTCCTATTCTAGGTTCACCATAAGTCAAATAAAGATATACACACGTTTATGCACTGCACATAAAGATGCGTTTACTCACATTTAAATTAAGAATGCATATGCAATGTACTGTATATGTACAGTAGCTGTGTGTACATGTGTGTGTATGTATTGGTATAAATATCTAGGATTGTTTTCAGTCCTCTCCTTTGACTGAATCTGCTGCATGTTTGTTTTTAATCTAACTCGCAGTATCTGGGGCAATACATCTGACCTTTATTCAACCAGGGTCAACACGAATTTTCTTTTCCAGGAACGCCCTGATCCACAATCACACCTGGAAGTTTCCCAATACAACCAGAGTAAACCACCAAGTGGCGCCGCCGGAGCAGCCAAGCAGCCTTATGTCAAAGGGCGCTTCGGCAGTGACATTGATGGGACGGACACATGCCGCTCTTTCACCTTCCGCTGCCTTTGAACCGGCGGTCACCAGCGTGCTTCTCTGTTTCTGCGTATGTACGGCCCTAAAGAGGAATTGTACACTGTACACAGAAACCGTGTTTGTTGTGAGTTTGTTTTTGTGCTGTCTAAAGAGCAAGAGGAGAGGATTCTCTGAAATTCAAGGATGTAGCTGCTCTCTTTGAATGTGTTATGTGATAATATTTCCAAGGACTGGGCGCTCACTTAGCGGTTTAATGAAGAAAGCTCGGTGTGATTGAAGTGACAGCATTTCTTTGAGGCACGACTAAAAACAATCAGCTTTGAGCGATCCCGTTATTATTCCCCTCGAGTACAAACACACCATTGGTTCTGTCGCAGCTGTTTCGGACTGAATCAGCCAGACACAAACGTTTCAGAGGGACAGTAGCATCAGGAGAACAGAGCCTCAAACCGCTCAGCTGCTCCACCGCCTCAAAACAACACAAGCTCTTAAAGGAACGGGGCAATCTGCACGCCACCATGTCATACATGTCAGCGTGCCACTTTCGCAAGCACATACACGCGCAGTGCCACATACGCTATCTGCACTGTAATCTCTCCTCCTCGACTGTGATTATCGTAGACATCAATAGCATGATGTTGTGGAGGGTGTTGCTGTTTTCTCTTGGCGTCCTTCAGTGTTTGTGTAATGGAGCTCAGTCTTTTCCGGTTATTGTGCGAGAGAGAGAGGGGGGGGGGGGGGGGGGCTAGTGGCTGGAGTTTGACAGACCGGGCAGTCAGAATATCTGGGACACACACACACACACACAAATGCACAAATACACACACGGACAGACTGACTGGCAGTCAATCTGTTGGAGGCGGATCAGTGTGAGTAAGAAGAGGGCTCACCGCCTCACTTAATACACCGATATGCAACACGGAAACATACATGAACACAAATAGGTGGACCCATGCTGACACGTAGTCTACAGGGGGTAGATTTTTGTGTGTGTGTGTGTGTGGGCGGCAGGCTGACTGACCAAAACCGACCAATCTTTTCTGCCTCGATCATGAGAAGTACACCGGATGCAGTGAAGCAGTTCTGCCGGGGTTGTAAAGGGCAGCGAGTTTAGTAGGAAAGAATGACTACACGATGCGTGACGGTGACTGAAATGCTGCAGAGGAAGAGGAGGTAGAATTTAGGGGGATAAGAAACAAACATAAGACTGGATGAAGATGAGATGAAGAAAAAAGGGGCGTGAAGAAAGGGTGTTATTGGGTTTGGGATAATCCACACTATTCAGGTCACTTCTGTTTTCCACCTTCAACACACAAACGCACGCAGACAAGCTCAAACAGTAGTCTGGCACAGCCACTGCCACCGCCACTCTAGATTTCCCTTTAACCAACTGACAGTGACACTGGGGGATAGGATGGGAGGAAGAGGGAGGAAAGAGGAGAGGTGAAAGGACAAAAGGCGCTGACCCAATGTTGTGCCAGAAGAAGAGAGGAAAAGATTCAGGGAAAGAAGAAGAAACACTGGGGGATGAAGGCAGGAAGAGAGGGGGGGGGGGGGGGGGGGGGGGGGGGGGAGCGAACAAAAAAAGAGAAGGGGGAGGGG